ATACTGTAACCTTCCTTACCTATAAGTTTAATCTTGATATCATAATCCTAGATGAAGTTGATTCTCATTGTACTAGATCTTGGACTGCTATTGGTGACACCATTACAGTTACTCGCTGCCTCGGTGTGCTCGTGGTTGTCGTCTGGGTCACTGGAATAGATTACTGGCCTCAGTTGACAACTTTGGCACCCCACATTCATTCTACTTGCTCTCTCAGATTCCTGGCACTTCTGTACCATATCTTCTCATTCATTTGTCAACCTGGGCAGTCTTCCCAGCCTCATATATTGAACTAACATTCCGATTCTCAGCGCTGATTTTACTTCCATCGAAAGAGGACGTACGGGAGCTTTTACAAACCCACGTCATCTCCTCTCTCTGATTCCAACGAAGAATAAGTTGGTTTTGGTACTTTTCTTAGGCTTCGAAGTCCCTCTGGAGACTGGATTGATCTTGTGGGGAAGGGTCGTCAGCTGCAAGTCCGGCCCTGTTTCCGTGGGCCTAGGACTGGCTAGAAAACTAGTGAAGTAGTGCACTAGGCGAAGTTGTGCCTAAATGATAGCCGCGCAGATTTGCTGATGTTAGGGTCAGTAGCATCATTTTGGGTAGATCTAAACAATCGCCATTGTTTTTTAGTACCAGGAACCAAACTCGTGTTTAGATCCCGGGTTTTCAGAAATGTATGTTGCTGCCCCACATATTGGACCACTTCACTTTTGCGACCACAAACTTCTGATCAGCATGCGCTATTACCCCTCCTCCTCTTACCTCTGAGTTTTTCGCTGCAAAAGCGTTAGTTGTCGAATTCCACTGCCTTGAGTTTTTTCAATCATAAAGCATTTTGCATGTTGATGACTCTGATGACAAATGCTTGCCAAAAAGTCAACAGACACACAGATACAGAAGGAGATTCTGAAAGATGCTATCATATGCATTTATGTAAATAAACGGGCAATTGCAAAAGGACTAGGAAATTAAGAGTTTTGAAAATTAACAGGTACGGAAATAGTCAATACTACAGGAAATAAGGGTGAAGTCTATTTAGCGGAGTGAAATAAGTAGTGGAGCAACAATGGTTAAGGCGGGTAGAATGACCTTCAGGAAGACCAAGGCCTGCCAGGTTCGTTACCCACAGAGAGTGTGGTCAAGATTTAGATTTCACTGGAAGCCAGTTTTAAGGTGAGGGAAACCTGACGTCTCCAGTTCCTATGAGAAAACCAGAAAGGCATGGGTACCAATATGAAAAGGGGTATGCGGTGGCTCCTAAATGATATAGTGCATCCCAAAAACGATTTTGGCCTATGGAGACGCCTATGTATATAAAATAACTGGCAACTTAGAATCCAGGCGAGTACTGAAAATCAAGCTGAGAATGCGAGCAGTCATTTAAAATCAAGTGAATTGAGTGATACAACGACCGTATTTAGTCCGTGACTGTCATCCCTACAATGTTTGTGAGATCAGTACCTAACAGTAATGTCTCTCACACGACAGACTGCTCTCATTACATCCCCCTGATATCCTTTATAGGGATTCAGTTAACATAAGATGGAAACAATTTCCAAAATTACATAGAGGCCGGGTGTGGGATTTTTTCCTTACATTCAGCCGGTATAGAAAATATTTCATTGACCGTTAAACCCACTTGTAAGCACTGGAAGCAAACGCATAATTATAGGAAGATTATTTAGGGATAGACCGTCAGTACTAGTGTAACAGCAGAAGACTAGAGACTTCATAAAGGACTATTTAACTGGAATTTGGTATTTCCGAATAGTAAAATTACGTACACCTTACCTGGAAATCGTCATTCGCCCAGATCTTTCGTGTAGTGCTACTTCTGCCCTTCGTGTTGTATTTCTCTGTCTCCTTTGTATGTCTTCCATGTTTCGTCGAAACGCTGAATCATTCGCTCTCTTGGGGACGTCAAATCTATCCCTCCACTGTTTTATATATTTATGGAATTTAGTAGTAATATATATAATAATAATCTATATTTCGTATAAACGGGTAAGTTTACAAGAAATGCATGCCACTTTTACAGGCACGATCAGCTGTGTTCTAAATTACAATCCTGAAGTATCATAAATTAATACTTTTTCAAAAGTTTGAATTATTCGATTATTGTACAAGCAATCAGAACAGGTTCTTATAAATGTTAAATCGTAAACCGTTTACTGAGGTCGCCATCGAAGTTAAGCGACAACCCAAACATCGATTCGTTTCCTGTTGGTAGTTATGGCCAACCAGTGGACAGAGTATATTTGGGTGAGTGCTATGCCCTCACTTGATTGAACGCTATTTCAGGAAGAGAAGAACGTACCGTGAAAGTGCAAAGTGGTATAAAATGCGATTATGAATAATACATTATTGGAAGTATATTTACAAGATAAATACAAGGAGAAGAAGCCATATAGTACTTGAAATGATGGTTTGCATTTGCAACATTTAATGCTAACCATATTGGTCTAAGCATGGAAACTATCACGTTTCCGATGAAAATATAGCTTTGTTCAAACATTCGTGTTGTTGTGTTTTTAATCAAAGCAACCAGACTTTGGGCAAGCAACAAATATGAATAAAGAGCAAGTTTCAGCTTCAATAAAGGCCTAGGTAGTTAAGATCAGATAGAGTATAGTAGTGTGTAAATAAAAGGATTATTGTGAGGTAGGTAAGTGCCATCTAAGTGAGGAGTTAATTAACTGATCTGGAAAAGTAGATGCCGTAGAACAAGCTGACCTGTAAGATGGCTCACGAATGTCTGTAGTGCGCTTGGGGGAGCATCTTGGCAAGAAGCTGAACACGTTTTTAGATGGTGGGAGTGAAAGCACTGTTTTATAATTTAGGTCTGTAGAACCCTTCCTGTTTTTCTTAAGGATCCAGACTTATGTTTAATTTTCGAGCTGTCAAAAGTGCATGTTACTGTCCTACAGATAGGGGCGATTCACTTTTGTGACGACTATCACATCTGCTGATCAGCATGAGCCATACTCTTTTTTTGGTGTTAAGTTCTGAGTTTTTTGGCAATAACTGTGGTTTGAGCATTTCATTGCTTTGAGCCCGTCCCAATCATACAGTATGCTGTACATTAATAGCTTTTATGACAAGTGCTTCCCATTATATCACCAGACACACGGATGGAAGGGACGCTGCCGAAATGGCTTGTCTTCACGAAGAAGATATTGAGCTCTAATATCAGTTGCCATGAATAACTACGAAATAACAAGTATGGGCTTTAGTTTCAAGTAAAAGAGCCATTCTTTCGATGCACCGTTTTTCATTAGGCCAAAAACTTTTAGAAGTCAACCTTTTAATATATCACACAGGTTATTCCGTACAGGTATTTCTACTATTTTAAAACTGATCGGGAATCAAGTTTTCTGGTTGAGTAAAAATTTAATAATAATATATAATAAGAGGTATATCCATGAACCACTTACTTTCACAGCTTGCCAGAAGCTCAAGGATACGTGAAACAAAAAGCATCCTAGCACTTTTGTTACTTCTGATACTGGTTTCCTTCACACCCATGGAGATCTGGTCAGAATTCCATGTATGGTCTAGGATCCCATGTGTATGATCATGTTTGGCGACTGTTGTTTTAATTAATGTTATGAATCTCTGTCCAATAATGACATGTCGAAGGCATTTGAAACACCTTCGTGTAACAGTGGATTCGGAACTTCCGATGTCCATCTCCCGAAGCAACGAACCACAGAGGCAATTCAAAACATGACTGCCTTATGTTTCAAGAAAACTGCTAGACTGTGTGCTACCCAAGACCACAACTAACCACCCTCAAACTTCCTCCGATAGCTGAAGTGATGAATATTAGCTACGAAGAACGTCAGTGAGCCAGTACAGACCACCTTGTCATACAGAACTCTTCGAAGGCTGTTGCTGGTCGTATTTTCGCAGAGGAAGAATACGGCACCGTGGCAGGATTGTCAGAAAAAAATTGTCGCGCCTCCCGGTTATTCTCAGCCGCCGACCACATTTCATGCATAAGTGGGCCTGAAAACGCGACATCTGATCTTATCTGACTGCTTTTTAGAGATGTTTTCAACCAACCAGGCTCATACATGTCACTACACATGTTTTCCCTCCAGAACAATAAATGCTGATCACGAGGACCGCCAAGCGGCGGGCTATGTGGAACAGTAGAACAAATCCTAAGTTCAAGATAAAACTTCATAATTGTTGACGGTTGGTAGGCATACTCACCAACACTGTCAATCGACCTTATCCCCCTCAGAGAAAGCGTTCTTCAGTACGAGACATTTTGGGCAACGCTACTCGAGTGCCACATGCTTCAGGCTAAATACCATAAGGTTCGGGAAACATCCTCACAAATACGCTGAAATGTGTCATTCTTGACTTTTTTAGACCAAGCGCAGTTCTCTTGTTTCAGTATGCTAATTGTGTCCTGCACCACCACCCATAAAGGAAATAATCATTTCTTTCGATTTTGTGTTGCGTGAGTTTGCACATATTTAAGCACCTTTGTCGTAATAACTTCTAACAAGATATTTGTCAGTTTTCTTGTATTTCATTCTTAGGGCACCCAGCGATTTGTCAGAAAGCGAACGAAGGACTTGGAGCGCAAGAAGTGCGTTTTCTGAATCTTCTAAAATTGACCTCTTAGCATGGTGGATGGACCATATATTACCAATCCACCGATCTGAAGGGTTTTACTATCTGCACGCCATTGATCCCGAAAATGTGATTCCCACTTTGGATGACCAATCTGTTATAACGATTTGACATATTAGGCACTAACCGGTCCATGTCAGACAAATACACTTGGTGTGAAGGATAGGATACATAACTATACTATCATCTGACCTCTCCTAACAATCATTCACATCTGTCACTTGAACGCAGTCTCTTTCATTAGTAGTACGTAGGTCATGGGCGGCAAACTATTACCCTTCACTGTTTATAAATATCTGTATAGAAAGATTAATTCAACCAACCAAATTAGTCTACAGTTGTTTAAGTGCACACTTCTGAAAACCACATTAATTGAATAATTGGCGGGTTTGTTGTTTTTTCATTGACGATTTGTAATTAAAGCCCGCTTTGGAGTAGTAACTGCGTATTTAAAATTTAAGAAGACTATAGCTTTTGCATTGCAACTCAGCCTCGGATAACAGGTGTCAAACAAAGATGTAAATTGCATAGATGTGATTTTTCAATAGGCATGATCAAAGTTACCACAGCTTTAATCATATTTGTGGCTATACTAGATGTTAAGTTTGTTATGAACTTTAAGGGTAGTTTGTATGCTGTTATCTACCCAGCTAGCCTCATACCTCGAATTGGGCTTGTTTTTCTAAACCACTTCTTTTTGTAGTTTCGAGGTAAAACTAAGATTTCAGATTTGTTGATTGAGGATAGAAGGCTTGAAGCCTTTGTTAATCCCTTACTAGTAAATTTCTGTGCTTTTTCAAACTCTTCGTAAATGATTCAATTAAGGTCGCTGACCGCTTCTTCTGGGAGTCGGTTCCAAGAGTTTATGACTCGGTGTGAGGACCAGAACTCCACAGCAATATAGTTTATTCTTGGCTTTTGAACTCGCCTGCTATGTCCTTTAAGGTGTTCCGGCCTAGTGGGAAGGAAAAGGGAGAATAGATCAGGTCTGTAGTCATTATTTGAAATTTTAAACATTGTAATTTAATCTCTCTGCCTACGGTATGACAGGGAGAAGAGATTTAGACTGTCTAGTCTTTCCTCGTATGATAAATCAATCATGCCCAGAACCATACGTGTTACTTTCCTTTGAACCCTTCCTAGAATGTGTGAGTCCCCTTTAAGCCAAGGACTGGCTGCCTGGATACAGTTTTCTAGTCTTGACCTCACCAGAGATGTATATAAGGAAGCGAACATATCTCTGGTGATCCTAGTAAAGGCTCTAGGAATCGCCCATAAGGATCTGAAACTACATGCAGCCACAGCGCGACAATGTGCTGTAGTTTTAAAGTTGTGACTTACTATGACACCTAAATCTAAATGATTTAGAGCTGATGGGAGTTTTATACTCTCTAGTTCGTAGGGGCTGATGCTTGCCTGTCCAGTCAGCATGGTTGCACATTTCGCTACGTTAATCGAGAACATCCATTCTTTGGACCAATCTAATAATTTGTGGAGATCCCCTTGCAGCGTAAGGGTATCACTGTCGCCCTTCAGCTCTCTCCAGATTTCTAGGTCATCTGCATATAGGACCACTGGGTAGTCCGTGAGCACAGATAGCTCACTGATATACAAAATAAATAAGAGATGCCCGAGCACCATGCCTTGTGGCACTCTGCTACGTATTGTTGTCCAGGAGGAGAGTTTAGAGTTGATCCTGACGCTCTTTCTCCTCTCCATGAGGGATTCCCTGATCCAGTTTGGTAAGCTGCCTTTGATACCAAGACTTTCCAACTTCGTGAGTAGTCTCTTGTAAGGAACTTTATCCAGGGCTTTGCTGAAGTCTATGAAGTTGGCGTTGACGGGTCTTCTGTTGTCCCTGGACTTGACTCAGCTTTCTCTTGCAGTGAGGAGATTTGACAGGCATTAGAGGTTTCCTCGGAAGCCATGCTGTGCTCTGGATAACAAGTTGTTTTTCAGAAATGCCATGATACTTTTTTTGATGATTCTTTCCAGTGTCTTGATTAATGTGCTGGTGAGACTAATAGGCCTGTAATTTGAAAGGCATTGTTTTGATCCTCCTTTGTGGATGGACGTTACTATGACGCCTTTCCACGCGCGTGGTAGCACTCCATTTGGGAAAGAGCGTGAAGATCGTAGTCAGTGGGTCCACACACTTCCAAAAGACAGTGGGCCGGCTATGTGAGCTGATAGCTCCTTGAGAGGCCTTGGATGGTGATTAACAAGACCCATTGATTTTCCTGCATCTAGTCTATCCCGTGTTCCTCTGATGCAGCCAGCGCTGATCCTATGGGGCGGAACGACTCCTGTGTCAATACTTGGGAGAAGTAGTTTGCCATTTCTCCTGCTTTTTTTTGATCTTCCATTGTACCTGAAGTTCATGTACGAGGAAATTTTCTTAGCTTGTGCCATTGCATTCTGAGGTATATGTGTTCCGAACTTCACCCTTGATTGGCGGATTTCTGCGATAGCTTTGTTCCTAGCGAGGTTGTATAATTTCTGGTCTTAGGAATCTCAAGTGTGGTAAACAGGTTCCAGCATTTGTGTTTACGTCTATATCATGCTCATTAAGAGTGAGGTCTCGAGTATCTACGAGTTTATACAAAGTTGGTATTGGCTGGTCATTTAGAAATGAACGTTATTTACATACTTTAACAACAGTCTTAAATATATTCCTTTCGTTTTCATTCTGATTTTGAGCTCATAAAAATCTCCCTTATTTTCTTTTTTACCATAATGAGAACATGTTAGTGTTTGGAGTTCATATCCGTAAAGCAGATGGGAATGAAGATTCTTTGCAAACCTCTTCATTCGTAAATGATGTTATTGGTTTACTGATTGGGAGTCAATGTTACCTGTGTGAAGTAGTATGCACTTACTGTTAAATTCGATTTAGAATGACTTACTGGGTCTCCGTATAGAATTTTCCACAGGAGTGAATAAGTTCAAGTTGCCATATCTCATTTAGCGTACCATGGCAGATGAAAACGATTCAAAAGAACTACAATAAGCAGAAATATGTGGGTTATGGAAGATTACAATGGGTGAATGCGTCCGCTCCATTGTGGACGATTTTGAGCCATATCACTAGTAGTCTCCAGTCATTGATTTTTAGCATTCTGAGAACCCCCAACCAGATAGTCTGCAATCCTCTGCGTTGCCCCAACCAACTGTCGAAGACTTCATAAGCTGATTACCGGCTTTTAATATGACCACCCCACCCTCAACTCTTGCCAACCTGGCCTTATGTCAGCTAACATTTGCGTCTCCATTGGTTACCATACTGCATGGATTATAAGACTACTGATGGAAGCTCGGTTATGAAGTACCTTTTCTGTTTTTGAATGCAATGGTAATACTATCTCAAAATGTGAAATTGTAACCAACTTCACGAAACTCCATTAAATAACTAACCACAAGAGTTTTGTATGAATTAAACTAACAAAAAATGACCGTATTTCTTCAGTTTTACTTTTTGATTGGAAACCGAATTTGCAAACTGGGCGCAGAGCGCCAACATTCAGAGTTACAATGTATGCCTGAAAATCTGTTTCATGGAGGCTGAAATGTTGATTAGCATCAGTTTGAATTGAGTACGATTTCGATGACTAATGAGTAGTCAGAGTAATCAAAGGAAAGTCTAATTCTGGGATATTTGCGGTCAACTTTTTGTGAACAGTTAATTAAATATACTTATGTGGGTAAACATTTTTGTTATATTTTGATACATTACCCAACTGTAGAATATTTCATATTTCCCTACTACAAAAATATGAGCTCAAGTAGTTATCATGAGCAGTGATTCTTAATTTCTGGTAGCGTTAGTTGGGTAATTTATGATCACTGTAATCGTTTAATGTAAGATTAGAATTCAGCGCTGTAGTGGAGTAGAATTCCATATTAGATAATGTTCCAAGCACAATTTATTGCTTATCATCATTCCAGTGTAATCGTTTCTCATGTTTCCATGTATGTTTCTCATTTTGTTTTGTCATTTAGATGGAGTCGAATAACAATTCGAGCTCTACAGGTCAACCCGATAATGTTCAGGCAAGTCGTCAAGCTTATGGTTTCTGTTGGTTGAATAAAAGCCCTTTTAATTTATGCTACTCGTATTCTGTTTAACTGACTAGTTTTCTGGGCGGTTTATTACATATTTTTTTCTAGTTTGACGACGGATTGGTATCAGTTAGACAACCACTGAAAACCAGGGAGTACAGGACAGCTGTTTCGTCCTAGTTGGGGACTCATCGGCAGTGCGCACCCACTGGGGTTCGAACCCAGGACCTTCCGGTTGCAAGGCGACCATTCAACCACTGGGACCCGATTCAATGGCCCATGAATTCTAACTTCTACCAGTTGGTGACTCACTCCAGACTGGATGGACCCAGTGGGTGCATATTGCCGATAGGTCCCAATCTAGGATGAAATGGCTGTCTAGTACTCCCTGGTTTTCAATGGTTCTCTAGCTGATATCATCAATCCGTGGTCAAACTCGAAAAACAAATCAACTCTTGAAAATATATTTTTTTATTGAGAAATCAACATTGTTAGCTTTTTATGTCATGGGGAGTGCAGTTTTTTTTTCAAATTCCACATGATTGTTACACTCATGTATATTTTTAATCTGAGCTATAGGAAAATAGGTTTATCTAAATGAAGTGCCTTATAGTATGTAGAAACTTAAATGCAAAAATGGTTTCATACCCTGTTGGACTTCAGTACGGTAGGAGAGTTAACATTGCTGACTTCTTTTATCAGCCAGGCGTAAGACAGGTAGTTATTGATGAGTTTAAATGCCTTTTCAGGGCTGAAACTTCTAAGTTCCAAAAACATCTCAACTTCTTCCAATCGAATGGCCTGGCATCTTATTATCGTTATAAAATGTTACCCTTGAGTTAATTTTTGTTTTTGTTTTTTTATAAAGCATCGATAAAACTTGCACGAGAAAGTAATCTCTCTTTTGATTCTCTGATCGTTCAGCAAAAAGTTTTAAAACTATTCGCTAACATCTGATGCGTTTGAATGCTAACATACTCACTTTCTAAATATTGAAGTGGGTAGTTAGGCATCGTTTCACGTTATTTATTCATTTGTTCATCCATCAATTTAAGGCTGGTTGGTTTCAATGTAGAACTTTGCACAAAAATGCAGCAGTTCAAATTGCCACACTCCGTTTAGCACGCAAAAGAAGAAAAAAGAGATGCGGAAAGACGATAATAAACACAAATGTGAGGGAGAAAGAACTCTAACATAGAAGAACAGTAGGTTTTTATTGTCGGACATGGGAGGACACAGAGAGTAAATGCATCTGTGCCATTGAGAACGATTTTAAGGCATATCACCAATTGTCTCCAGCCTTCATTGGTTCTTAGCCTCCTGAGGACCCCAACCAGTCAGGAAGTCAACGCCTCCCTACGTGGCTCAAACTAACTGTTAATGTATTCATCATAGGATTATCTATTTGTACAACAAGCTGTTAGCTGCATACTGTGTGAAATTGTAAGATTCCCACCTCGCAGCCTACGAAGTATGCGCTAAATCTCTAACCAGTTGGTTTCGGGTTCGAACTTCCATCTATTGGAATTTACTTAGAACTGTAGCAACATCCTCCTCACTCTTTCAAATATACAGGACTTGTTGGTCTGTTACGTGATTGCTGTGAAGCCGAATAACCCGAAAGTTACAGGTAAAGTCAAAAGCTTTCACTTATATACTTTATCTTTCTGTTCTGTGCTTTCTATTGTCTTTTGCTGTCAGTCTGTTGGACAAAATAACTCCACTGTCTCTTATTATTTAATCATCAGTATTAATTTAGGAGTAATATGACGATAGATTCTCACCCTAAGATAAGTAATGGGACACCATACTCCGTAGTCACCAGGGCTTCAGCCAAATTAGGCAAACAGGTGAAGGTGATGGACTCTCGCATACCGGTCTTGAAGACCAGGGCAAATATTCCCTGCTCGGACAGATTGCCCATGTCGCCACAGTCCTACAGTGATACTGTGCAAAGTCAACCAAGTGGATGTGGCTCCATCCCTGTTAACACGACTAGGTTAACAGAGCCGAGCGGTAAAACTGCACTAAGTGAGAATTGTATAACACCCATCTCCATAGTAGGCCATGAAACAAACAGGAAGGCCGAAAAGAAACGTTCACGACGTCGCAAGACGACAAAAACGTTCCCGAAGAAGGCAGACGATTGCAAGGTCTGCGATTCTGTTGTCGAACAAGCAGACTCTGCCTTCGAATGCAACTTTTGCAAGCGATGGGTACATTGTAGATGCGACACCGGGGTACCAAAAGTATATTATGATTTTATGCGTAAGAACCCATGCCCATGGTTCTGGTACATATGCCCAAGTTGCCGTCCTGATGCAGCCTCGTGTAGTTCTTTGAAAGCTAAAGATGGCGTAGAAGTATCAGGGAAAAACGTGAAACGTTCTACTCCCACCAACTCGGAAAATAGCACAATTGCACGTAAATCGGGGATACCAAAATCCACACCGGTTAAACTTGCAATTCTTGCCATAACCGCTCCAGACACAGAGGCTGAAGCACCATGGGTATCTGTCGCTGGAAAAAGACCCTTATCGTCTGCCAGTAATAGTGGCCACGGCACTGAGACACACAATAATGTCCAGTCGCACCAGACGAAACAAAACGGTCTTAAAGGGGATGACAAATGTGTGAGGACCGAACCTAAGTCCACGGTTAGTAGATCAAACTGTGTAATCCTCTTTAATGTACCAGATTGTAGTAGTAGTCTACTGGAAAATAGGGCCCTGTTTGATCAGGAACAGTGGTCCAACTTGTGTAGCACACTGGGTCTGGACATCCAACCAGTAAAACTATGCAGATTGTATAGGGGCACTGCTGCACCTCAAGGCAAACCATCCCCACTGAGGGTAACACTGAGCTCTACCGAGGATGTCGAAAAAGTTTTACTGACTTCTCAAGTCCTTTCTATAGGGAGGGCCTGCAACATACGTGTTAGGCCAGACAGGCCATGAAAGGAAAGACAGATGGCGAGGGAGTCGCCAGAGATTATTCCTTCTGCCTCCATGGTTGTTCACGGCATTCCCGAACTGGGAACTGGGAACGCTTGCGAGAAGCATTGTCACGATGTACAGCAATGGAGATGGTTGGCATCCCAGATGACTCTGGGAAGTTCAGGGGCTGTCTCTATTTATAGACTGTCTCGACCCACTCACCTTATGTCAATTAACACGCCACGTCTGTTAGCTGTCAAGTTCAGTTCCCGAGACCAGTTGACTACTGCTCTCCAGAGATGGTACGAGACCAAGGACAAGGTCAGCAGACACATTCGCTGCTGCGAGAGCCGGCCTCGTACCCAAAGGAGAGAACAAAGCGTTGTCAAAGAAAATCCTCAACCCTTAGTCACACTACAGCGGTGCAGCACGGACGATGATAGCCAGTGTCATCCAAGTGCTCCGATTGAACTAGAAGAAAAAAACGCCAACAGGCCGGTTCCTGGGGAATCGGCCAATTAGTTCGTAGGATAACTCCTCAACCGACAGCCCACATCAAGTCAACCACCCCCCCCCAATACGGGGACGTGGTGAGACTGACTACCAGTTGCCTGTACAGTAATGTGAGAGGGCTAAGAGGCAAAATAGCTGAACTTAGACACCTACAATCACAGCTGAATTCCAAAATCATAATACTGACGGAAACCTGGCTAACCCCTACGGTGGCAGACAGCGAAGTCAGTATAAATGATATGGTCCTAGTCAGGCGAGATAGGGACCTGAAAGAAGGAGGTGGAGTCGCCATATACGTCGACAAACAGCTCAGATGTGTTCACGCAATGGACCCTCCCCTCACTGAGCTCCCTGACTCCATATGGTTCCATTTCACCGTTGGGTAGTGCAAATATCTAGTGGGCAGCATTTATCGATCACCTTCATGTGGAGCTGACCACAACCAGGTACTGCTAAATACAATTTCAGCGATACAAGATATGTGTAAGATCAATTCAATTCCCATCCTTGAATCAAGTCAACCTGTCCCGGATCAGCCTAGCGTTGTTGCAACCCAATTATCCATGCCTAACGTGTCTATCCCCCCTTGTTTAATGAACTGTGTGTGTGTTTTTTACATCGATCCGTTTAGTCAGACCGTTGAACTCATGACCCAATCAGAGTATTTTGTGAACTGTTATTTTTGCTGACCCATGTCTTACTTTGTACTATTCTGTCGAGTTTATCTTATTTATTGATCTTCATCTGTATCAGCCTACCTGGTTAAGTAGCCAATTAAATTCTATCTTTGTGCCTATGCTCTGTCTATCTCTTAACCGCTCTCTGTTCTATGCCCTGCCTTACTTGGGTTCATTCTTCTACTGACTGCTTACCTGAACGGTCGTGTCTGATTCCGGCTAGTTCGCAATTTTGGCTTTAACGTTATTCCGCTCTGATAGCGGTACCTTGCTTTCTGTTAAGCGTTGTGCTTTGTACTCTTGAAACCGTTAAGGTTTGTTGTATATATAATTATTGATTTGTTTATTAATAGTACCGTAGAAACAGTGACCGGCTTCTTGTTTGTTCTGGACCGGGATAGCCTTTATCTACGCGTGACTTAATTTCAAGCGATATTGCGCTTACAATATGGGTTATGATCAAATTGTCATAGCTGGCGACTTCAATGCCCCATCTCTTAACTTGATGTCGGGATACGCCCATGATAGATTTGATCGAAATCTGCTGCATACCATCAGGACGGATGGATTCATTCGAAATGTCAGGATGGATACTAGATGGGGCCCAGATGGAAAGTCTTCTAGACTGGATTATGTGCTCACTGGTGACCAGCTACTAGTGGAAAACGTTCAGATCACGACTCCCATAGGTAGTAGTGACCACGCAGTCATAGTATTCGACATAGTCCTCCGCGAGCGCTTACAGTGGGACAATACACAGCCCTATCTGTGTTATAACAAAGCCAATTACACCGAAATGCGAAGACTTTTGTCTGAAGGAAATTGGCCAAACAATTGGACAGAGCTAACAGTAGAAGAACACTGGAGAGTGGTGAAGGAGATCATTCACCAGGCGGTCTCAGACATTGTTTCTTTAGTCACACCAAAAGCTAGGAAGCAACGTTCATGGCTGAAAAAGGGGACACAACGCCTTCTGCAGGCGAAGCGAAAAGCCTGGTTTGCGTGGCGAGTATCGAAGAGTCAACCCGAACATGAAGTGTACCTTGAACTCAGGAATTGATATAACATACGAGTCCGGAGTGATAGAAGGACATTTCAGAGAAACCTCGCCAATAAGCTTCTCGTGAACCCCAAAAGCCTATACAGGTTTATGTCTGAAAGGAAACCGACCAACCAGGGAGCTTGCAATCTAGTGGGTTCTGATGGGAAATCTCTTACTAGTCTTAAAATGGCAGAGATATTCAGTCTAGCCTTTCACAGGCAACTGATTTCCCATCAGAACCCACTAGATTGCAAGCTCCCTGGTTGGTCGGTTTCCTTTCAGACATAAACCTGTATAGGCTTTTGGGGTTCACGAGAAGCTTATTGGCGAGGTTTCTTTGAAATGTCCTTCTATCACTCCGGACTCGTATGTTATATCAATTCCTGAGTTCAAGGTACACTTCATGTTCGGGTTGACTCTTCGATACTCGCCACGCAAACCAGGCTTTTCGCTTCGCCTGTAGAAGGCGTTGTGTCCCCTTTTTCAGCCATGAACGTTGCTTCCTAGCTTTTGGTGTGACTAAAGAAACAATGTCTGAGACCGACTGGTGAATGATCTCCTTCACCACTCTCCAGTGTTCTTCTACTGTTAGCTCTGTCCAATTGTTTGGCCAATTTCCTTCAGACAAAAGTCTTCGCATTTCGGTGTAATTGGCTTTGTTATAACACAGATAGGGCTGTGTATTGTCCCACTGTAAGCGCTCGCGGAGGACTATGTCGAATACTATGACCGCGTGGTCACTACTACCTATGGGAGTCGTGATCTGAACGTTTTCCACTAGTAGCTGGTCACCAGTGAGCACATAATCCAGTCTAGAAGACTTTCCATCTGGGCCCCATCTAGTATCCATCCTGACATTTCGAATGAATCCATCCGTCCTGATGGTATACAGCAGATTTCGATCAAATCTATCATGGGCGTATCCCGACATCAAGTTAAGAGATGGGGCATTGAAGTCGCCAGCTATGACAATTTGATCATAACCCATATTGTAAGCGCAATATCGCTTGAAATTAAGTCACGCGTAGATAAAGGCTATCCCGGTCCAGAACAAACAAGAAGCCGGTCACTGTTTCTACGGTACTATTAATAAACAAATCAATAATTATATATACAACAAACCTTAACGGTTTCAAGAGTACAAAGCACAACGCTTAACAGAAAGCAAGGTACCGCTATCAGAGCGGAATAACGTTAAAGCCAAAATTGCGAACTAGCCGGAATCAGACACGACCGTTCAGGTAAACAGTCAGTAGAAGAATGAACCCAAGTAAGGCAGGGCATAGAACAGAGAGCGGTTAAGAGATAGACAGAGCATAGGCACAAAGATAGAATTTAATTGGCTACTTAACCAGGTAGGCTGATACAGATGAAGATCAATAAATAAGATAAACTCGACAGAATAGTATAAAGTAAGACATGGGTCAGCAAAAATAACAGTTCACAAAATACTCTGATTGGGTCATGAGTTCAACGGTCTGACTAAACGGATCGATGTAAAAAACACACACACAGTTCATTAAACAAGGGGGATAACCCCGTTAGGCATGGATAATTGGGTTGCAACAACGCTAGGCTGATCCGCGACAGGTTGACTTGATTCAAGGATGGGAATTGAATTGATCTTACACATATCTTGTATCGCTGAAATTGTATTTAGCAGTACCTGGTTGTGGTCAGCTCCACATGAAGGTGATCGATAAATGCTGCCCACTAGATATTTGCACTACCCAACGGTGAAATGGAACCATATGGAGTCAGGGAGCTCAGTGAGGGGAGGGTCCATTGCGTGAACACATCTGAGCTGTTTGTCGACGTATATGGCGACTCCATCTCCTTCTTTCAGGTCCCTATCTCGCCTGACTAGGACCATATCATTTATACTGACTTCGCTGTCTGCCACCGTAGGGGTTAGCCAGGTTTCCGTCAGTATTATGATTTTGGAATTCAGCTGTGATTGTAGGTGTCTAAGTTCAGCTATTTTGCCTCTTAACCCTCTCACATTACTGTACAGGCAACTGGTAGTCAGTCTCACCAGGTGCCCGTATTGGGGGGGGGGCGTGGTTGACTTGATGTGGGCTGTCGGTTGGGGAGTTATCCTACGAACTAATTGGCCGATTCCCCAGGAACCGGCCTGTTGGCGTTTTTTTTCTTCTAGTTCAATCGGAGCACTTGGATGACACTGGCTATCATCGTCCGTGCTGCACCGCTGTAGTGTGACTAAGGGTTGAGGATTTTCTTTGACAACGCTTTGTTCTCTCCTTTGGGTACGAGGCCGGCTCTCGCAGCAGCGAATGTGTCTGCTGACCTTGTCCTTGGTCTCGTACCATCTCTGGAGAGCAGTAGTCAACTGGTCTCGGGAACTGAACTTGACAGCTAACAGACGTGGCGTGTTAATTGACATAAGGTGAGTGGGTCGAGACAGTCTATAAATAGAGACAGTCCATGAACTTCCCAGAGTCATCTGGGATGCCAACCATCTCCATTGCTGTACATCGTGACAGTGCTTCTCGTAGGCGTTCCCAGTTCCCAGTTCGGGAATGCCGTGAACAACCATGGAGGCAGAAGGAATAATCTCTGGCGACTCCCTCGCCATCTGTCTTTCCTTTCATAGCCTGTCTGGCCTAACACGTATGTTGCAGGCCCTCCCTATAGAAAGGACTTGAGAAGTCAGTAAAACTTTTTCGACATCCTCGGTAGAGCTCAGTGTTACCCTCAGTGGGGATGGTTTGCCTTGAGGTGCAGCAGTGCGCCTATACAATCTGCATAGTTTTACTGGTTGGATGTCCAGACCCAGTGTGCTACACAAGTTGGACCACTGTTCCTGATCAAACAGGGCCCTATTTTCCAGTAGACTACTACTACAATCTGGTACATTAAAGAGGATTACACAGTTTGATCTACTAACCGTGGACTTAGGTTCGGTCCTCACACATTTGTCATCCCCTTTAAGACCGTTTTGTTTCGTCTGGTGCGACTGGACATTATTGTGTGTCTTAGTGCCGTGGCCACTATTACTGGCAGACGATAAGGGTCTTTTTCTAGCGACAGATACCCATGGTGCTTCAGCCTCTGTGTCTGGAGCGGTTATGGCAAGAATTGCAAGTTTAACTGGTGTGGATTTTGGTATCCCCGATTTACGTGCAATTGTGCTATTTTCCGAGTTGGTGGGAGTAGAATGTTTCACGTTTTTCCCTGATACTTCTACGCCATCTTTAGCTTTCCAAGAACTACACGAGGCTGCATCAGGAGGGCAACTTGGGCATATGTACCAGAACCATGGGCATGGGTTCTTACGCATAAAATCATAATATACTTTTGGTACCCCGGTGTCGCATCTACAATGTACCCATCGCTTGCAAAAGTTGCATTCGAAGGCAGAGTCTGCTTGTTCGACAACAGAATCGCAGACCTTGCAATCGTCTGCCTTCTTCGGGAACGTTTTTGTCGTCTTGCGACGTCGTGAACGTTTCTTTTCAGCCTTCCTGTTTGTTTCATGGCCTACTATGGAGATGGGTGTTATACAATTCTCACTAAATGCAGTTTTACCGCTCGGCTCTGTTAACCTAGTCGTGTTAACAGGGATGGAGTCACATCCACTTGGTTGACTTTGCACAGTATCACTGTAGGACTGTGGCGACATGGGCAATCTGTCCGAGCAGGGAATATTTGCCCTGGTCTTCAAGACCGGTATGTGAGAGTCCATCACCTTCACCTGTTTGCCTAATTTGGCTGAAGCCCTGGTGACTACGGAGTATGGTGTCCCATTACTTATCTTAGGGTGAGAATCTATCGTCATATTACTCCTAAATTAATACCGATGATTAAATAATAAGAGACAGTGGAGTTATTTTGTCCAACAGACTGACAGCAAAAGACAATAGAAAGCACAGAACAGAAAGATAAAGTATATAAGTGAAAGCTTTTGACTTTACCTGTAACTTTCGGGTTATTCGGCTTCACAGCAATCACGTAACAGACCAACAAGTTCTGTATATTTGAAAGAGTGAGGAGGATGTTGCTACAGAAGTAGCGTCCGAAGCTTTGCCAGTAGTTGGAGACACCTGGAATTACCACACACATGCTCGGTGAAGAAGATGTGGTTGAATAAAATTTGCTGGATAGGAAGATCAGCTTTCCGAAACGAATAGTTCTTAGAAGTGGATATTTCCTGTTCGAGAGGAAAGTGCACGTCGTATTCGAAGCGCGCTTGCGCCTATCTAAGTCAAATGAACAGTCAATTTAAATTGCACATGGAAATGTGAAATGATGAACAACTATGTGCGGTAATTTAGGATCAGTTCTGATGACAGCTTTTTTCTTCATAAAATTGAGAGTAGTCCTCTTTTACTTATTCATTTTCAATATTTAGTTTGTAGGGATTTAATTTGTTTCAAGTGTGATCACGGATTGATGTCAGTTGGAGAACTACTGAAAAGCAGAGAGTACTGAGACTCATCGGCAGTAATTTAGGACAAATACCCGCCAGCGATGACTGGTGGTTGCTGTAAAAACACGAATTGGTAGAAGTTAGAATTCATGGGCCATTTAGTCGTGTCCCAGTGGGCTGAATGGTCTACGAGCTTGACTTCGGGCAGGGAGGTCCTGTTTTCGAACCCCAGTGGGCGCGTACTTATTCATTTTGTCGATGCATAATCATTTGCTTTCTTCCATCGTAATACTTATCGGCTGCGAGGATGCTATATTTACTGATTAACAGGACATTGCTTTGTACATGCTTTCTTTATCAATTTGAAATATGACTACTACATCTAAGTATATATCTTTTTTTCATTTTCAGGGAGCTCTTCGAAAGCTTGACTTATTGGTGGAAAAAGCAGAGCTCTATAGCAAGATCAAGTATACAGGTGCTGGGTTAAAAGACCTGTCTAGTCCGTCCAAAATTAAACCAGAGCCTGCGGTTAACTCACCTACTTCTAGTTCTGTTGCAGAGTAAGTTATGCAACTTTTCCCTTGTAAACTTTTGTATTCAGTCATCGTCATCGACGAACAGAAAAAGAAGAAGATGAAGAGCTATTGACAGAGACTAAACTTGGTGCAACAACTGCTATTCAACGCTTCGAAGCATCTCCATGGTGTAGGTCTCAAGGTTTTACTGACATTTGTCTTTCTTTCTTTCTTTCTATAGATGTGAAGGGTGGAGAAATGCGTGATTATCAGATACGTGGTTTAAACTGGATGATTCAACTGCATCACAACAATATAAATGGGATTTTAGCTGATGAAATGGGTTTAGGCAAAACATTGCAAACGATATCAATGCTTGGCTACTTAAAACACTATCGTCATAAACCTGGCCCGCATATTGTCATTGTGCCAAAATCGACCCTGTCAAATTGGATGAATGAATTCGCTCGATGGGTTCCTTCTCTGCGTGCAGTTTCATTGATTGGGAATCAAGATGAAAGAGTAAATCCATTCGGTCTTTTTTTTAAATTTCTAATTTCTTCTTTTCCTTTTAGAATCAAAAAATACAAGATGAAATCTTGAAAAGAGACTGGGATGTACTTGTTACTAGTTATGAGATGTGTATTAAGGAGAAGACAGTTATCAGAAAGTTTAATTACGTTTACCTGGTAATCGACGAAGCTCATCGTATCAAAAATGAAAAGTCGAAATTATCAGAAATTGTTCGAGATTTCCGTTCACAGAATCGTTTGTTAATCACTGGTACACCATTGCAGAATAACTTGCACGAGTTATGGGCATTACTCAATTTTTTAATGCCAGAGGTATTCGCCTCATCTGATATGTTCGATGATATGTTTAAAACGGACAGTGCACATGAAGAAAGTTTCGTACAACGCCTGCATGCAGTGCTGAAACCCTTTCTGCTGAGGAGAATTAAAGCCGATGTGGAAAAGCGTTTACCACCGAAAAAAGAATGCAAGATTTACATTGGTCTGAGTAAAATGCAACGGGAACTGTACACGAAGATTTTGATGAAAGATATCGATCTAGTGAATTCAGTCGGCAATAAGGTGGATCGTGTTCGTCTGTTGAATATTCTCATGCAACTACGCAAATGCTGTAATCATCCTTATTTGTTCGATGGTATGGAACCGGGTCCACCATATACTACTGATTATCATCTTGTTGATAATTGTGGCAAATTAATGCTGTTGGATAAATTGTTACCAAAGCTGAAAGAACAAGGCTCCCGCGTTCTCCTCTTCAGTCAGATGACGCGTATGATGGATATTCTAGAGGATTATTGTTTATGGCGTGGTCATGAGTATTTTCGATTGGATGGTTCAACACCTCATGAAGAACGTCAAGTAAGTTATTAAGAACGTTTCTCTAACATTAAAATACATCAAAACTATGATTATAATGGTTTGTTATGATTATTACTCCTTTGAGTTTTGCGTGGAACATTGGGTGGTGGGCTTCAACAGCACATCTCCATTTCATCCTCTTCTTTGCAGTCTTTTTTAGCTGGCTCCACTATTGCTCCACACACTGTCATTTCCTCTTCACACGATCTCTCCTCCATGTCACCCTCTAAGCGATGCCCGACTTCTTTTCCACTCGAGGGGTCGGTGCGTGATATCATTAAGCGGTGTCTTCAGCATGTGTCCGATCCATTTCCATTTCCGTGGGCATATTTGTTGGACAATAGCTTCTTAGATGGTTGGTTACCAAAGTTACTTGTTACTAGTCCTTTCTGGCCATCTGGCCGTCTGGTCCCAGTGTACACTAATAGAATTTCACTCAAGGCTGTTTTTCATTTGTCATGCTAACAGCATTGGCTTTGTTCTTGAACTTTTGGCAGAGCATATTCCGTTCTTCAAATGAACTGTCGTCAAGATTTGACCGAATAGTTCTAAAATATTTGGGCACCGAGTGAGAAGTAGACATTTGTAAAAAAATTATATTTCTAATATCTCAGCGATATTGAAATGAGTAATTCCAACGTTTCGTTCGGCAATCTGGTCCGAACTTCTTCAGGGAAATTAATCGAAATTAACATTACATAGGTTTATATATAAAAGGCACATCTTTTGTTTTTAAAAACTCTGTCCAATCATGATTCATAAAACAAGTATTAACAAGTATAATAAAAAAAATTGTATAAGTTGTGATCAAAATTTGACCTCGAACTTACAAATATTGGTCTACCTTTGTTAAACACTTTAAACAGAGTGTGCATGCGTGTGTGTATAAACAGTTGTAAAACATTTCTTAACATCTCCATAGGAAGATATAGACAGTTGGGAACTTTGATCAAGTAATGTTAATTAGTGATATATATCCATTTTTATTAATTAATCAGGACTCCCTATACATCAGCTAACATCACACCTTCATGTCTGTTCACACTGTTAAAATCTAGAATTTTATGATTAGACGTGTTTTCAAAATTATGGTGTTTAAGATTAGAGTTTAATTTAAGTACCCTGTCGAACTTATTGCATTGTCTTCTTTCTGAATATTGAGCTGCTTTATTCGACCTACTGGAGTTGTCAGGTGACTTGACAGCTACGGATTTAGGATGTGCATTTTGTTCCAAACAACGGAGACTGAAAACACGATGATTGTGCCAAATGTTCCGTTCTGTTAAGTGTTCCTATAATAAAAAAAGAAGTTTCATATCTTCGGAGATACATTTCACCGTGATCAAACGTCTGACGTTTATAGTGAAAACGTTTGTCACTGTAATGCATATTGATTATTTCCATCATACTCAGTAATTACTCTGACTATGAGTAGTTTCTATCAGGGATGCCAACTGATCGCATTTTACTTTAATTTCGTCGTAGATGTACTGATGCGATTGACCCTAAGTAGTGACTTTAGCAACTTGCTATCACAGGGCAGTCTTGTTGACTTTGAGTATGCCGATGATGTAGTCCTCCTAGTTGAAGACGCTGATAAGATGCAAATTCTTCTGAACATCTTGAAAAGAAACCTTTGAATGCTTGGCATGTGATTTGCTCCTGTCAAATATAAGATGATGCTGCTGGACTAGACTACACCGACACCCAACCTAAAGGTAGAGAGTAAAGTAGTAGAGCGTGCTGACCGCTGCACTTGTTTTGGAAATTTCCATCAGCCCTAGCGGGGTGGTCGCTGACGAAATCTGAGTACGGATATAAAAGGTTCATGTGGGATTCGCCAACTTACTTCATCTCTGGTGTAGACGTGATATCCGACTGGCTGTCTGTCGATCAAAGGACTGTGAACAGTGCAGCCGCAGTTCGCTCCATCTGTTTTATAGAGGTGTCAGACACAGCCATTGAAAGTGAATGATATGAAATGACTGACTATTTTTTTTATCACAGATATTTGCGTTCTGTTTCCTGTGTTAAGCAATAAAATATGGTGAGTGATATTAAGGTCAGGAGTAGAGTGATGACGAATTGATTGATATGGCTAAGATACGTGTCACGCTTGCCGAGCTGACAAAGGACTAGGTTGAAAAATAGTCGGCGGTATCATCTTCCCATGAAATTTTTGACAGTGGTTTGAGCCACTCAGAGTGGTTGGTGTAGATCTTCTGACTGGCATCTCCGGAATGCTGAATACCGGTGGCGGGAAACTATTGGTGATAGAGCTCGAAAGAGTTCTCATTGGCGCAGATGCATTCACTCTGTAATCTCCAATATCCATTAGACCCTGTTGTTTTTCCATGTTACTATTCTTCCTCCTGTATATTTCTGTGTATTATGGTTCTTTTGAATCCACTTTTTCTCTCTTAACTCCTCTTTTTATGCAACATGGAATGTGATATTTTGAACTACTGCAACTTGATGCAGAGCTCTGCTTTGAAGCTCGGTCAGTCGGTCAATAATTTCTCTACCAAATGTTTTGCTTTTTCATTCATAATTTCGTGTATCTCTGATAGCAAGCAACTAATGTATCCTACAAACTCTGATGAGTGTGGTGGCTTGAATGAAGATGAGTTTATCAATCATTATTATTATTATTGTTCCCTTCGGTTCCGAATGGAACATAGGGCTTCAACAACACATCTCTACTTTGTTATATTTTCTGCTCTGCTCCTCAGCTGAGCCCACGATTGCCCATAATCTCCCATCTCCTTCTCGCACGATCTTCTCCATGTCACCCTCGAGTGACCCACTCGTCGTTTCCCGTTAGGGTTCCACTCTAGTAGCGGCCTGGCTCGTGATGTCATTCGACGATCTCCTCAGCGTGTGCCCAATCTATCTCTATTTTCTTGTACATATTTGTTGAGCAATCGGTCTTTGGTTGGCTTTTTGCCTGAGTTTCTTGTTGCCAATTCTTCCTGGCTGGCCAGCCATTTGATCTTCAATAGGGAGCGAAGGTAGCTGTCGGTAAAAGTCTGTAACTGACTGTTGAAAATGCTTTTCGTGACGTGCAGTGCGAGTTTCTGACCTGTGTGGAAGAACTGACTGACTACACATTAGTGTTGAAAATCCGAATATTGTTTTTTTATTCTGCCTGAGTGGTAAAGATTTTCAAACTGGTTTCAGATTGATGAAGGCGTATCTAGCCCTTCCGATTCTGGCTGGTTTCGACATCTTCATCCGTTCTGACTGCCTGTAGTTGAAACGATGTTTCCTAGATAGCTGAAGGAAGTAACCTCTGTCCAATCTCTCCCGTTGTTGGTGATTGACGTTGGTTGTTGTTGTTGCTGTTGCTTGTGGTTGGTTATCTTCATCACCTCCGTCTTATCTATATTCACCTGGAGTCCTGTCTTCGTCGCCAGTCTCATCTGCCAGTTTGTTTGTTTGTTTTCGTCTACAAGTTTTCGAGTTTGTGTGACATGAAACATAAATCATGAGTTTATCTACGCAGTCTTAATTATTGCATTTCTGTGTTCTTTAGAAAATATACAAAAAACAGTATTATATATATATATATAATTTTCTAGGTAGTAATAATAATAATAATAGCTTTATTCCAAACAGTATTTGTGGTACAGGTATGGAATTTTCAGCGTTCATTACAATATTGCATCTAATTACCTCATAAATTTTATAAGGATTTAGAAATATAAAGCAACAACAACAAAAAAATAGATAAATAAAAAGAAATAAAAAAAGAACAGCGTTACGTTTACATATTTAAACAATGCACCACAGGATGTGATATATAAAATTAGTTTGTAATAGAATATATGAGCAACAATATAATAGTAACAAAGAAAGGAGAACAAAAGTTAATGGGAACTATTTGTTAGAGTGCCGCAGTAAATTGATCATGTCATGCCTAACAGTTTTCTCATCACATAACAGCTGTGCCAGATAAGGTATTGTGGAGTTTTTATACTTAGTAGTCCTGGCATATAGCTTCCTATAGTTGCTTCTAGTTCTACCAGATGAAATGCAAGGAGAGAGCTGCGTATGGAGAGGGTGTTCGGGGTCTGACCATATAGAATTTGCTAGTTTCTTACATGACATTATATGTCTATCCACAATTGTGTTAACCAGTTGGTTTAACGAAATCCCACTTGCCCTACTAACAGATTTTAGTGCCCTATGCAGCGAAGCAAAGTCTTTCTTAAGTAGTCCGGGGAAGATTAATGGGGAGCAGTAAAGAGGGATGGGTAGAATACAGGAATTGACAAACTGAGAAAGCAAAGACTGCTTTATACCAGACTGCCTAAACTTCCTAAGGTAGAACGTTAAGCGAAACATCTTTCTAGTCACTAGCAAGATGTGAGAGGACCAGGAAAGATCGGAGGAAATACTCAGTCCAAGGTACTTGACATTTGATGTAGTTTCAACCTCTATGCCGTCAATGATAGTGGGACCATGTGAGGTAGCTAGTTGTTGAAGGTCACTTTTTCGTCTGAAAGTAAAATTTACTACCTGACATTTAGACGGATTAATTGTATTACATACGTCGACTTGCATGCGTTAGACTCGGTTCAGTGCTTGTGCGTCACATTTTTTTAAATGTCTATAATCACTCTAGTTTCTATGCAAACATGTCGTTTTGATACTTAACTAAAAAGTCATCTTTATCTGATTTTAGGTTTCTATTGATGAATTCAATCGTCCTGGTTCAACAAAGTTTCTATTTATGCTTTCTACAAGAGCTGGTGGTTTAGGTATTAATTTAGCCACAGCTGATGTTGTTATCATATATGATTCAGACTGGAATCCACAAGTTGATCTACAGGCTATGGATCGAGCACATCGTATCGGTCAGACTAAAACTGTCCGTGTGTTCAGATTAATCACAGAACACACTGTTGAAGAACGTATTATTATGCGCGCTGAAATGAAGCTTAAATTAGATAACTTGGTTATCCAGCAGGGTAAGTCTGTCCATATTTAGTACATCATTTGTATATTATGTGTATCATTATTATTATTATTTTGGGTTTCAGCGGCACATCTCCATATCCCTCTGTCCCCTGTGTGTAGGCCTTTTTAGCCGGCCGCATGATTACCCAAAAGTTTTCGTCTTCTCCTCATACGATCGTCTCTGTGTATCATCCTCAAACGACTGGTTCGTTGCCTGTTTCTCATTCTGGTTTCACTTGAGGGCTATCCTGGCGCATTATATCCTCGACGTGTCTCTAATCCATTCCCATTTCCTTCAGCATATTTGCTGAGCTATAGAAGTTATTAGTTTTAAACAGAAATAGGTTTATCCCAGCCAGGAACTAAAATTAAAGAAATATTTTGCGGCATTTTAAAGTGTAGTCGGCTAAGGTTTTCACTTGAGAAATGGATGTTTATGGTACTGTCGCGTCTTTGCGGTCAGCCGTTGTAAACGCAACAACACTGAAAACATTATTGTTAGTATTTCAAACAAAAGTAAATTTCTTTACGTCTTACTAATTGAAGTGCTGTGCAGCGAAGTAATTAAGAGAAGATATCCAATAAGAGAACACTGCTTACATTTGTATGTATTGAAAAACATGAAACGTTTCAAGCCTTTTTTGAGTGTTCACAGTCAGTCTCTAATATACTCTTCACTTCGCGAGGGTGTTCCTCACATTAGTGAAAGGGCCAATGTGAATATCTGGTGCTTACAACAGGATTGGTAGACATTCTGGTCTACCTAGGGGAACTGGAGAACCCTAGTTGCAAACCTATAATTTACATGTGATCCAGAATCTGAGGGGACCAAGTGCCACCTCCACCATCAACCATGGGAATGCGGTACCTGGTGCTACTCCACTGGCTTATGGATTAGGCTTCAGGTCAAAGGTTTGGAAGGTGACCCCTTAAGACACAACTACTTTCTTGAGGCTAGGCGTCTTTGCAGTGCCCTGGCCCTCACATAATCTATGAGATTTTGGATGGCGAGCATCTCTTGGTTCCAGTAATGTACTAAGTTTGTGTTTTAATAATAATAATAATAATAATGTTTTATAGGACTTGTTCATGTTACAATTATTGACACACGCTTCCATGTTCTTTTCTTCGCTTGCCGAGTGTGCCCCTTTAACGATCTTCGGGAGTAGAAAACCACATTAAGGTATAAAATTCCCTCCACACATACTTTATACGATGATGCTTTTTGAAGTGTTTCCCACAGAAAGAGACCATAGTTTATGTTGCCTATTTGTCACCAGTAAGAGTGAAACTTACGAATCAGGTGAACTATCTCTCTGTAAACGTGGTATTCTTAATTCATAAGAAGATGACATCCAACAGGGGCGAGCGCACTAATGACCTCTGGAAGGAGCAATTGCATTAAGAAGTATATGTGATTCCTTAACTCAAACTTAACCCCAATGTATCCCTAACCAACCCTTATTATTTCTATTAAGCCCTTGGGTTTTGCGAGTGGGACGTAGAGGGCTTCGACAGTATATCTCCATTTCATCCTATTCTCTGCAGTCTTTGTTAGTTGGTTCCGCGATTGCCTGTAGGCTGTCATTTCCTCCTCACTCTCGAAACATTGCCAATTTGTTTTCCATTCACTCGTTCCACTCGAAGGCCTGGCATGTGATGTTGCCAAGCGGTATCCTCAGCGTGTGTCCGATCCATCTCCATTTCCTTTGGCATATTTGTTGGACAATAGTACCTTGATTGGTTCATTCCATAATGTCTTCCCAATTAGTATAACTTTAACTTGTCCCTGGTCTAAACCTAACGTTAATCTTTGTCTAACCTAACCTAAAGCTGATTAGATATTCAGTTGATTATCACCACTACAGTTCATTCAACACTTTTTTCATGAATATAAAATTTTTATCTGGTTTCACTGGCCTACCATGACTGAGCTTCCCATTAGTGCATCCGCGCTTGTTAGGTGTCTAAAGTTTGACTTCACTCATAAGATGATTACTACGCTAAGTAGAGATTCCTCTGATACTTCTTGCTGAGACACAGTCTTTCTAACTGTTTTCCTTGATCACTTTTGTTTCAGGCCGTCTTGTTGAACAAAAATCGAATCAGTTACAAAAGGGTGATGTTTTGGATATGATTCGACATGGCGCTAATTATATCTTCCGTAGTAAAGACAGTGATTTCAAAGATGAAGATATCGATATTATTTTGGCTCGTGGTGAACAAAAAACTGCAGAAATGAACGAGAAATTAGCCCAGTTAGGAGAGTCAAATTTAAGAGCATTGAAATTCGATACAGCAGACGAAAATGGTGCACCATCGTCGGTCTACATATATGAAGGAGAAGACTATCGAGAGAAGCAAAGTCGTACTTCTTTGCTGGAGGTATGTTTTCTTTTTTCAGTGCAACCAGGATGTGTATATGTGTGTGCGTATTACTACCAGTTAATTTGTAGGGATTTGATTCGTTTCAATTAGAGAAGCATTAAAAAACAGGGAGTGCTAGACGGCCGTCCCATCTCTGTTTGGGATGCTTGAGCAGTACGCACCGATAACCGCATCCTCAGGGACTGAACCCCAGGACCTTTAATTGATATCACTCCGTGGTCAAACTTGGAAAAAATTAATTCTTGAAAACTAATCTGATGCTCACTAGTGACTGGCTGGTTAAAGGACGAAGTTGTCCGGATTTCTAGTGAAAAGTCGATACCAGCGGGGTCTGCCAAGTTGGGTGTTAGGACAAATATTCTCCGTTGGCATCGGCTGGCGGTCGTGCTAAAAATCATGAACTTATAGGGGTTAGAGTTCTCGGGCCAATGAGTTCCGTCCGAGTGGTTGTAAATGGTATGCGAAGTTGCCTTGTCACCTGAAGGTCCTGGGCTGGATCCTAGGTGATCTCAATGGGTCTTATTGCTGAAGACTTCCTACCTGAGATGGAACAGCTATCAGGTACTTCCTGGTTTCCAGTGGTTTTGTAGCTGGTACCAATCCATGATCAAATTTAAAACATATATAATTAAATATACCGTTATTTTTAAAAACATTTGTCATTGTCTTTTATAGGGTTGGATAGAACCTCCAAAACGTGAACGTAAAGCAAATTATGCAGTGGATGCATACTTTCGTGAAGCTCTTCGTGTTTCTGAGCCTAAAGCGCCAAAACCACCTAGACCTCCGAAGCAACCAAATGTACAAGATTTTCAATTTTTCCCTCCTAGACTATTTGAACTTTTGGATAAGGAAATCTACGCTTTCAGGTTGGTATATATTATATTATTATATATATTAAAATACCATTTTTATCCACCCGTCAGTATTATCAGATAGTGGAGCTCTTAGAAACGTAAAACTTCCTTTCTGTATAACTGATTTGAACAAAATGTGTTGTGAATGTTGATAGTAGGGCTTTTAGCTTCTAGTTTGCTTGTACATGCTATTGAAAAGTTGTGTCACCTATCATTTGGTACAACTCACTTCCTTATATTTAGTTTCCCAAGCAAAATAAATCCCATCTCTCCAAAAGCAGTTAGCGAAGGATGAAAAAATAGTGATGATGATGCATTGAATTGATACTGTGTAGTTTTCGTAGGAGACCGCCAGGCTCTCTAGTGGGGAACCCCGTTGGGAAACGAGTTAGGCGTCCGACGGTGACACGGAAGACATCATGTGAGGTGCAGATAAAAGCTTATGAACGGTCATGGATCCAGCTGAGAAGGAATCTAGGGAACAGGAGAAAAATGGGAGACGTGCTGTTGAATCCCTAAATTTCACTTGGAGTTCAAGGGAATAATAATGATAACTTTTCGCAGATTGAAAGCATCTAATGAAGTCCTTGTTGTAATGGCGGGGGGGGGGTGGTGATGAATTATAAATTTTATAATTGAAAATATGAACACAATTTATATCGAGAATGGCGATAAAGTGTTTCACGTTAGCAGGCTCCTGTTATTGGGAAATCGCGAACTTGTTGGCATTGCTGTTTTAAAGACAATATGTATAAACGTCGATTGCAACGGTGAGGCGACCATGTGGCAAACTTTATTGGCAGAATCAGCCAGCGCTTGGAGCTAGATGTATAACACCGGTTAACCCGTTATGCATCTGTCACTTGCCTTACAAGACATCAATCTCAGATCCAGTAACTTGATGACATTTCTAACTGACTACAGCACCGCGTGGTGACATGGCTTTGAATCCCTATGGGAACATCAATTCCGTTAAGGTTGTACATAATCGATTACTACTGACGAGTGTTGAGTATCGAGGAATAATTCCTGCTTCCAACTGTTTAATGTTCGGCCTAGTTGAACCAAAATCTGGCATCATTTTATGAAGTTTCTGACAGTTTGCTTTAATCCACATGACGTGAAGAGGGCGGAGTGTAGACTGCCTGGTTGGGGTCGTCGGGATCCTAAGAATCTGTGAATGGAGACTGGCTATTAGTGATCATGTACCTCGAAATCGTCCTCATTGGGGCGCTGATGCATTCATTCTCTGTATGTTTGCCTTTGTTTACTACATGTGGAGTGTAGCAACTTGAAACCGGTGCACTTCTGTACAAAGTGCACTGTTGAAACTCAGTCAGTTCACATACACTGATGTTTTGTGTGTGTATGTGCGTGTGATATCCTTGAGAAGCGTCATCAATAATTTACACGTAGGCAGGTTTTTATTTTTGAGCATAAAAGTGTAATTAGCACACTCAACCTACCTGTAGTAGTAGTTAGATAGATAGAGTCAGTTCAAATGCTCCATTACATAGAAATATAGTGATCTTAAATGCTGGTTATCGAGAATTCAAAATGTCCTAAAACTAAGGATCATTGTAAACGGAAAAAGGTTAAAAATCATACTTCTACATCTGTAAACGACCGATGATGATTGTATCGGTCAGTGTGTATCGTCATTTGGGGGGAAATTACTTCTAGACCTCTAAGTTTGTGTATATTATGCACAGTTAATCGATTAAAGATAACCATCAAAAATTCACAAAAGACTGACTCATAAACAAAGAATATTCTTGTCGATAACCTCTTCTTCATCAGGTTCGACAGTTTTACTGTAACAACAGAAGACAAGGGCCACGCAACAGATCGTTTATTAAGGAAAATCAACACATATTTTTATAGATTTTAATGTACATTATTGTAGATTATTGTTAGTAGAAAATACGGTCTTTTGATTGGTCGTTTCTCACAGAAAGTTAACCTTGCATCTCTTTGTGGCTGTCTGTCAGATCATCCATATGCTAACTGTATCCGCCTACGCAAAGCCTTTGTTCTCATTTTCTCACCACCAATATTGGAGACATAAACAATGATGTCAAATACTGTCTACCAACTTTGGCTAGCAGCCAACTCTCACCACAATACGACCATAATAATTCAACAATTATTGTTCATGACAAAATTAGTGTTTTAAATAACATGGAATCACTAATATCGGTAGATTATACCTCAAAAGCATCTCTAAGTGATAATGTGCATAAATATAACACTGAAGTGAATCTCAGGTAACGAGCTCGCCTTGTAACCAGAAGGTCCTGGGTTCGAATTCCGGTGGGTGCGTACTGCCGATGATTCCCAAACTAGGATGAAACAGCAGTTGTCCAGTACTCCCAGGTTTTCCAGTGGTTCTCTAACCGATGTCAGCTCATGATGAAATCCACGCAATCAAACAAAATCCCTACAAAACCAATACTTGAAAATTAAGGAAAGTAATACAGAACTTATGAATTGATAGGCTCGATAGTAGGTCAGGGTAGCAATAGTGACTGACTTGACCTGTTTTCTCTGCGTACACAGAACTCCGGTTGATTTAAGCGAATTGCAATGACCTCATCTGTTTGGAGTGTTTAGTATCTCTTGAGGCCTTTGGTAATTTATTCGATACCCGATAGATGATAGAAAAAGATTCGTCAGTGATTCTTTGTTGTCTGTTTGGACGAGGCTACTTAATGTAAAACTGATGGTTTTAACAATACTTTTATTTAACCACCCTCGTAGGTGTTCTTGAGTACGAAAAACCAAGTGCCCAGGACGATAGCCAATATAACTGGCTGCCGAGGAGCGGTTGGTTAGCCTAGGTACTTCATCTTTCAGTTTCGGAATCACAACCGGTCGTGTGGAAAATATGAGTTGCGCCTTACTGGCATCAAAATTTCTTCGAGTCAATGTTCTCAACTTGCTGGTTGTTATTTTACTTGGTACATCAGCTTTGAATCGCAGCCTCATCCATAGAAATTTCTCGTTAGCAGATACAGAAAAATTCTCTTCTATTCTCTTGGCCATAGGTTTCAGGATGAACTTTTCAGGGTGGCTATTTTCAATTAACACGTCATCTACAACTTTGAATTCATCTTCAGTAACATGTCTTCATGTCTTCCGCTCTCAATGGCCAGGTCTCACAGCTTTAAAGGAGGACAGAGCGGACTGCTGAGCAGTAAACACGCCCTTTGGTCGTGATATCCGACTATTGACCAAAGGGCGTGTTTACTGCTCAGCAGTCCACTCCGTCCTCCTTTATGGCTGTGAGACCTGGCCATTGAGAGCAGAAGACATGAAAAGATTAGCTGTTTTCGATCATAGGTGTCTGCGTTCTATCTCCCGCGTGAAGTGCTATAATAAGGTGAGCAATATTGAGGTTAAGTGTCGAGTGCTAGGTAAGGTGAGGAAATCAATAGACGAGACTGTGAAATTACATCGACTGAGATGGTTAGGACATGTGTTACGTATGCCTCAACGGGCAATCTTAGCTGATATAGGGCCAGGCTGGAAAAGAGCTAGCGGCGGTCAAACGAAAACATGGCATCAGTCAATGAAATCCACAACAGTTAGTCTAAGCCACATAGGAAGATGTAGACTTCCTGGTTGGGGTCCTCGGGACGGTAAAAACCAATGGTTGGAGACAATTGGTGATATGGCTCAAAATCGTCCTCAGTGACTGGCGCAGATGCATCCACTCCTTGTGACTCATGATTTCCGATGAAACTGTTTTGTTCTCCGTTATTACTATTCCTTTGTCTCACACCTCTGTTTACTGTCTATATTATTATGCATTTCTCCTACTTTCTTCTCTTGGTTTGTGTGCTACATGGAGTATGGCTACTTGAACTGCCGCACATATGTGCAAAGTTCTATGTCGAAAACCGACCGACCGACCGATCAATATCATCTAAATAAATATCTCTAACCCTGTAGCTGAGAATAGTGACCGAAATTCTCTTGTAGTAAAGAGGGATAAGGCTATGAAAATATGTATAGTGTCGTTCATTATGGATAAGATTTAATTTTGATAGTTCACACAGTGTTGTACAGTAATATCAAACTAGTAGATGAGGAGTAGTCAGATTATCAGAACGCAAGAATTTAGCTAAAGTTAGAAGGATTGATCCCACGAAGATAAGCAATTTACAAAAACACTCAGCAATAGCATTTCACACATTAACACACAACCACACAATAGGATAGGTGGGACAGAGTCAAAATTCTAAAAAGTATTATAGTTAGGTGGGGAGAGATATTGATTAATGAATCCTGGTTCATCGAGTCTACACCCAACACATGCAACAGAAATGACTCAATGTAAATACCAAAGATTTGGAAGATATTAATGCCACCAGTTAAATCAGAGGAGGATAATAAATAATCTCAAAATTCTATTTCAATTCACATACATTATAACAGTCTAACAAGTTACTTATTTTTGACTATAAAAACATCTTATTTCCCATCTGATTGTATTTGATTGATAACACTAATATTATTATTATTATTTGTGAATGTACTTTATCTTATATTGATTTTTATTCAAATGTCTAAGCAATTTTTACTCATGTATATAAATGAAGCAAGAAAGTTGTGTGAGTGAGTGCCTTGTTGATATGATTATGAGCAGTCCTAAATTGTGCTCAAAACGTGGTCATCAGTAAATATTACTGTGTGACACTGTATAATTTATCAAAATAAAATTTTATCCATAATGGAGTAGTGTAACTCTACCACAATGCCCAAGTTTTATATATGTAAAGTGTCTTGTCTACTAATTTCTTTTTGTACTACAATCTGTTATTCTTGGGAGTACGACGTATGAGTCGGCAATTTTTTTCGGGATACCTATTTACACGTGAATTCGATAGCTAATAGGAAACTCATTAAATTGAGCTACTATTGCCCACCTGTCTAAATCAAATCATCTTCACTAAACGAGAAATGCATCATCCAATATATTGGCAATAAAACGGGGAATTTTTCGATAAGAGATTGTTTCAAGGACTATTTCCTGGTTTATTTGCAAAGTAATCTGCTAACATTGGGACCCACTGGGGTGGCGTCCTTTGTGCCACGCCATTCACTTGTCTGTAGATTTTACCATCAAATTTAAAATTTACATTCATTTAGTATGACATTCTTTAGGAGATTTCTATTACGCTCCCAATATATTTATTGATTTGTTTGTTATTCATTTATTCGCATGTGTAATTAACTGCTTCAATAAAAAGTGTGGTACCATTTGGGAATAGAGATGTTACGTCCTAAGATATGATAGTTTTATTTTTAATGTTAATATCTTTAACTCTGTCTACGAATTCAAAGTGTTAAGACACCATGTTCACGCTCCATGAAATAAATTTTATCCCTACGTTTCGCTAACTTATTTTGACTGTAGAAAGAGTATTGGATACAAAATCCCTAGAAATCCAGATGCTGGACCAGATGGTGAACGTGACCGATTGGAAGAACAAGCTAGAATAGATGAAGCTGAACCGTTGACTGAAGAAGAAATCGCTGAAAAGGAAGAGCTGTTAACACAGGTAAGACAAACAGGAGTGTGTTTCGTCTTTCTCTGTTCTCATAGTGAACTCATGTTCAGGGGAAAAATGTCTTTTTCTTTATTGGCCTCAAATATTTGTAATTTTTACTTCTCCACAGGGTTTCACAAATTGGTCAAAACGTGATTTCCAACAATTTATCAAGGCAAACGAGAAACATGGCCGTGATGATCTGGAAGCCATTTCAATGGATGTAGAAGGGAAAACACCAGATGAAGTGAAACGATATGCTCGTGTGTTTTGGACAAGGTGTAATGAGCTACAAGATGTTGATAAACATATGGCTCAGGTAATTCTCAATTTTTACTAGTGTAAATGTGCGTAAGCTGAATAGTTATATATGTATGAGTGGTATTGTGATATTGTGAGTAATATTGAGTCATGATAGGCGTAAAGTGTTGGGCAAGTGTGGAGTAAGTCGATCGATAAGGTGGTGATGATGAATCAATTGAGGTGACTCGGATACATTTCATGCATGATGAGCCATTGTTTTTCTCGATGAGCAGTATTAACTGACATAGAGTTAGGTTGGGTAAGAGTTAGCGATGGTCCAGTCAAAACTTGGAATAAAACCAATGTCAGTCTGTAACCAGAAGGTCCTGGGTTCGAATCCCGGTGGGTGCGTACTGCTGAAGAGTCCCAAACTAGGACGAGACAGCTTTTCAGTACTCCCAGGTTTTCCAATGGTTCTCTAACTAATGTCAGCTCATGATGAAAATCCTGTAATGTCAGGCTTTGTTTGTTGCTTCAAACCACATGGGGAGGTGTAGATCACCTGACTGGTTGGGGTCCTTGATGTGCTAAGAATCGATAACTGAAGTCTATTGGGGGTGATATGACTCAAAATCGTTCTCAATGATGCAGATGTATGAACTCCCTCTAGTCTTGCACATCCATTAAACCCTGATGTTTCTACTCTTTCCTCTTCACATTTCTGCTTATTATGGTACTTTCGAAACTCTTTTGCCTCCCCTTTGTGTTTAGTTAGTCAAGCTGGTGTTTTCATACGTTTATTGTATGGCTGCAGTTATTCAGAATGAAAATCTCCGTATTTATTGATACTAGTTATATAAACATTAGTAGGATGAGATAACATAGATGTTGTATAGCTAAGGACTACATTTTCGACCGAAACTTGTTTCTTCATGATCCAGTGTGAATTTTACATTCGAAAACACACCCAAGTGATTTTTTTCTAAAGAATAGACACTGAACAAAGAGAACTCTTTTCGATAAATTCATCATCAGGTTCTACAATTATATATACATTATAATGAATGAATGAATTAGTCTTATGAACGACATTAATGTTGTTTAAATAACATCAAATCAATAATATTGATAAATTACAGCTGAACAGCATCAACATAAAATAAACTGAATGTCAGAAGAATTAGGAAAGGTAATAGCACAAATTCATGAGTTTATAGTCTCTACTGAGGGCCAGGGCAGTAGTAGGGGCTGGACTTGTTTCTTTTGCACACAGAGCACTGGTTGTTTGAGGTGAATTGCAATAGCCTCTGCTGTTTGGAGCATGCGATGCTTCGACGATTTTGGTAGTTTGCTAGGCACCCAGTATATTATAGAGAAGGATTCTTCTACGCTGGCTTTGTGATCGGTGTGCACTAGATGGTCTAATATCGAGCTGTTAATGGTTTTAACTACACCTTTACGTAGCCATAGTGGGAGATGTTCTCGAGTTCCTAGAGCAACGGCCAACATAACTCGCTCCACCAGAAGTGCAGTTGAATTGATAGATACAATTAGAAGTGGCTAGCTAGTCTAGGTACTTCATCTTTCAGTCGAGTTAGCACCATCGGTCGTGCAGAGAATAATGCGTGTAGTTCGTCAGCATTAAAAGTTCTTTGAACTGATATTCTTAATTTCTTCCCTAATTATTTCACTTGATATATCGCCCATGAATTGTAGTCGTATATAAAGTGGCTTCTTGTTTACAGAGAGTGAGTAGTCCTTTTCGGCTTTCTTTGTCATATGTTTCTTGATAAATTTTTCGGGATAGTTATTTTCGGTCAAAGTATCATATACAATGCTTAATTCATCTTCAATTATTTCTTCAGAACATATAGCTCTAACTCTGCGGCTAAGGGTCTTCACTAAATTTCTTTTTTAATTGATAGGACCGAAGCTGTGAAAGTGTGTATATTGTCGCGTCCAAGTGCTTTTTCTATGTAGATTTCTTTTTATGCTACTGTCTGGTTTTCTTGGAAGTAGGACATCCAGGAAGGCAATGCTGTCTTGGGATTCCTCTTCTGTAAAGTTGGTGTAAGTGATGTTATGAGATGATAATGCTTACTTGATTACATCATGCGATGATGAGCAATAAACTAGGTCTGAAACGTCTTCTCTGAATAATGCTGAGTCACGGCGTTTCATAATAACTATTCCAAAAAAGTAAAGGTGGAGCTAAACCCTTCTATGTTTTCGCCTGCTTCCCGAATTACGATGTATTTCTAGTCTCCAGCCTTATCTGTCTATTCCACATTACTTATTGAGACTTGGATAAACAACCTTGTTCACCTGTGTGTTTACTGTATCTTAGCACGTTTGGCTGTGTCTTCCAAAACACTGGTTCATCGTCCTATCTAGTAAATTAATTCATAACCTTCTACAAAGTGTAAGGTGAACTTGAAGTATTCAGTTGGAATTGGACATTTTATGTCAGAAGTCCAGATCGCAAAAGATCCTGAGTCTATCGCTGATTTCATAAGCCTACGCCTAACACACCGAATACTATGTACAGTAACCGAAAGATAGTACGATTGTTTATTCCTCCACCGATTACGAAACAGCATTACAAGTAACTATGTGCAAAGTCTATGAATAAACGGTAATAAAATGTACAATAATACTTCTGATGGTATTTCTCCAGTACTCTGCCAACTAGCATACGATCGCCATTGTTGTTGTCTCCCGCCAAATGGAAAATAATTCGAATAAACAAACCATTCATTACTTTCATTACTTGAAAGTGCAGCATTAGTGACATTGTTTTGAAAAAAGGCCTAATTTCATCCTTGTGTGTCTTCTGTTGTTCATTTAGGAGGAAAAAGAAGATTTAAGCGCTCCCAATACGCCAGTGCAGCCCGGAGGTCGATTCCTGGTGACAGCACTCCTAAACCTCACTTAGCCGGAGTAGTCAGTCGGGTAAAATAGAGGAAAGGTCAGCCGTGAGACTAGCAATCTTACCCCTTAAAAATAAAACCATTGCTATTCATACTTCAAATCTTAGGGTTAGAACCCTATTTCCCACTCGGAACGCAAAGAAATAGAATAAAAAGCTGTTCCCTCTCAGTGTTCAAAGCTGATGTGACTGTATAAGATATAGATTGAAATCTATTAGGTTGAACAGCCTTTTACCTAGTAAAAGTCTGAGCATTTTTGGCATGCAGTTTATCCGTGGGAGATGTAAGATGATACTAAAAGACCGTCCCAGCTTGACTCCTTCTTGAAGGATTATTATTGATCCCGTGGGTTCCGAGTGTAACATAGGGCTTCAATTGCACGTCTCCATTTTGTCCTTTTTTCTACGGTTCTCTGAAGCTGGCCTCACGTTTGCCTATAGTCTCTCATCTCCTCTGCGCATGACCTCCATATCACCGTCGGATGTTCCACTTGAAGGCCCTGTGCACCGTGTCAACCAATGATCTCAGCGTATGCTTAATCCATCACCATTTTCTTCTGCACATTTGTTGCACAATCGATTCTTGATTGGTTCATTAACAGAGCTCCATGTTGCTAATTCTTTCTAGTTGGTCATTCTATCTTCAGTATGAAGTCAGCGAAGGCAGTTTCCGGAAGAAGTTTGTAAACTGTTGCCAATGCTTTTCGTGATGTATTTGCCAAGTTTCTGATCCATATAGAAGAACTGGTTCACTTCACATTTGAGTTGAAAATCCGAATGTTGTTCTTTATTCTGGCTGAGTGCAGAAGATTTTCAAACTGGTTTCAGGTTGATGAAGGCGTACCTGGGCTTCCTGATTCTGGCCTTGACATCTTTATCCGTTTCACCTGAAGAATAGGATATGAGCTGATTGAATGTGTTGACCATTTCACTTACTCGTTAGGTCTTATCATCTCACACAGGCTGGTCCTTGATGAAATCCGAACTCACACATCAACTGCGAACGTTTGTTTCACTATAAGAATTTAAAACAAGCAATAAATACTAGTAACGCAGGATTTGATGAATTCATCAAATTTCATTAGAACTCTTCAGCTGAATATTCTACATACAGTGATATATATATATATATATATATACTATGTGAAATACAATGGTATTTTTGTTTAGTGTTTTTCAACTTGGATCATCTTTGGTGCTGACCTGATATTATCCCCCAATTCCTTCAAAGAAAGTGTACTATGGAACCGTTCTCTCTGTCCCACTATAGAACTTTAAGATAAGACCGTTGAATTCTGAAGTATGGGAAGGTTAGTGGTGTCTTCAGACTGTGGGGAGCAAGGAGACAGGAAGGTCTGGATTTCGCAGATGATACATGTCTAATGTCACACAAACTCGAAGACTTGCAGGAGAAAAGCAAAAAACTGGCTGAAGAAGCGGCCGGTGAAGACAGGACTCCAGGTGAGCATAGAGAAGACGGAGGTGATCAAGATAACCAACGAACAGCAACAACAACCAGCACCAATCACCATCAAAAGGAGAGCATTAACAGAGGTTACTTCCTTCACTTATCTAGGAAGCATCGCTTCAACTACGAAAATAACAAAAATTACAGAGAGTATTCAAAGCCTCTGTCGGTCGGTTTTCGATATAGAACTTTGCACATATGTGCGGCAGTTCAAGTCGCTACACTTCACTCAGCACACAAAGAAAGAGTAGAAAGTAGGAGAAATGCATATTAGTGACAGTAAACAGAGGTGTGAGATAAAGGAATAATAATAACGAAGAACAAAACAGTTTCATTGGAAATCATGAGTCACAAGGAGTGGATGCATCTGCGCCAGTCATTGAGAACGATTTTGAGCTATGTCACCAATTGTTTCCAACCATTGGTTTTTACCGTCCCGAGGACCCCAACCAGGAAATCTACACCTTCCTTCTGTTAAGAAGATACTGTTTTCTGTGCTGTAGTCTTTTTCAAGAATCAATGGTTGAGCACTCGTGTTTATGAAATGACTCAAAATCGTTTGCATATAATTATTCTTTCTCTCATGTATGTCTTCATCCATTAAGGTGGTTTTATGACATTTCCTTACCCTTTACTTTGGAGTGTGTGCATGTGTGTGTGTGCAGCTACTTTGAATTAG